AAAATCAAGTACAGAGAAACACTGAGGTTAACCGATGAAATATTCAATGTGTCTGGTGGCATTTACCAATATTTTCTGGTATTATCTAACAGTAAATAAAAAGTAAACCCAGTTAAATGAATAAGAAGGGAGGGGATGTTTTGACCATTCATTCATGGGCAGTCTTATTTGTTGACACGAGTGAAAGGCAGTGGGGGTTCGTTATTTATTTTTGTCCATAAACTTTTTTTTTTTCATACGTAAAGTAATTATTTTATTCAACTGGGGCTAAATTCACTATGGAATACTTCAATGCTTATAAAGGCACACCCTAAATTGTGTATATAAAATAATTTAAAATTAGAAGGCTATCGGATCAGGACCCCTCAAAAAACTCAATCAGAACATTCCCATTATGCTGTAGTTTAATTTCAGCCATGCATTGGTTAATATCGGGTATCGGCAGATCTAAAGCTACAGATTAGGATGCCATGAACGCTTAAGGTAAGTGAGGAATAAATGTGGACGACTGCAAACCATTTAAAATTAACTAGTTCTGTTTTTTGTTTTTTTTACATTTTAAGGCAGTAAAAATTAAGTACAGAGAAACACTGAGGTTAACTGATAAAATACTGAATGTGGTTGGTGGCATTTACCGATATTTTCTGTTATTACCAAAAGTAAATATTACAAAACTTTGCAAACTCAGTTGAACTTAAATGAATAAGAAGGGAGGGGGTGTTGTTCCTTGAGGCACACCTGTTTTGACCACTTACTTCTGGGCAGAATTATTTATTGCTACAAGTGAAAGGGCAATTAGTTTCAATATCTGTTTTTGTACATGAACTTTTCATAATATGTAATGTGTTATCAATGGAAAGATCTTTTTTTATTTTATTTTTTATTTAACTGTGGAGGAGTTTAATATATTATAACAAATTCACAATTTGTTATAATATTGTAAATATATTTTTAAGTAGGCCTTTTTACATCTGGTATTTTATTTATTCAACTGGGGCTAAATTGTCTATGGAATACTTCAGCGCTTATAAAGACACACCTTAAATTGTGCACAAATACAGTCATTTAAAATAAGATCGGTAGGCGATCAGATCAGGACCCTCCAAAAAACTGGATCAGGACATCCTTACTATGCTGTAGTTTAATTTCATCCAGGTATTGGTAAATATCGGATATCAGCAGATCTAAAGCTACAGTATCTGTATCGATACTGAAAAAAATCGATTGGTGCATCCCAAACCGACACGTGCACTAAACTCCGCCCATTGCCCGTGATGCGTCACTAATCCTCCACACGCATATTTAATCATGTATTTAGCTTCACTTCAAGACTTCAGCAGGCAATTTCTCACTGAATCTTTTTGGATAGTTTTAAAACTCAGACAGAGCTCAGGAAGTGTACGGTTGGCATACTAGCTGTTGTTAGCAAAACTCAGCCATGTTCTTTGAAAGTTGTGAAAAGCACTTAATTCCAGTGAATAATTAAGATGCCATGAACACTTAAGGTAAGTGAGGAATAAATGTGGACCGCTACAAACCATTTAAAAATGAACTACTTCTGTTTTTTGTTGTTGTTTTTTTTACATTTTAAGCCAGTAAAAATCAAGTACAGAGAATCACTGAGGTTAACCGATGAAATATGTATGTGTTTGGTGGCATTTACCGATATTTTCTGTTATTACCAAAAATAAATGTTACAAAACTTTGCAAACTCGGTTGAACTTAAATGAATAAGAAGGGAGGGGGTGTTGTTCCTTGAGGTGCACCTGTTTTGACCACTCATTCCAGGTCAGATTTATTTGTTGACTCAAGTGAAAGGCAATTGGGTTCGATATCTGTTTTTGCGCATAAACTGCCCTCGTTCATAACACAGTAATGCACCAATCAAATCTCTTTTTCATAATGAATTACTGACATATAAAGCCCATGTTTTTTGTGCACTATGCTATTAAATTGTTCAATTCTAAGGGTACAGTTTTATGAAAGTTTACCCTGTAATTTGTACTTTATTTTGAGTTCCACTGGTGGACGGCAATGGATTGACACACTTTGTGTTTGTTTGTGTTTGGGTGTGCTCTGAGATGCTGCTAATGAATTGCCTTATGGGATCAATAAAGTTTGTTGAATTCCAATCAGGTAACAGACCCTAAAGTAAAAAAATTAAACAAACAAATAAAAAAAAACAGTAGTAGCAGTAGTAGTAGTGGTAGTAGCGGTAGTAGCAGTAGTAGTAGCAGTAGGAGGAGGAGTAATTTAATCAGGTGAAAGAAAGACCTTCTAGAAAAACAATTACACAGTTCCCCTTTACTCAAACAAAACGAGTCTTTGCGTTTGAAGCCTGTTGTGGTTTGTCCTTGTTTGAATGGTGACTCAGCTGATTTAAATGCAAGGGTAGAAAACGCGTTCATTTGGATACGAGTCTCCCGCTCTCTTTGTTTATTATGGTTCAATTAGCTGATTTGCGTACAGTGGAAAGGCCACATTAGCAGATACCGCAGATGGAAGTATGCATACAGTGGACTATGTGGGAGGCGGGAGTTCTGATGTAAATGAAACTAACCTATGAATCTGCGTTGGTGCATTGCTCACCTTGTCACTATGGTAGGCTTTAATGTCCCCGTAAGGAAATTTCTGCACTGAAATTACGATTAAAAGGGAAATGAAAGTGAATCAGGGAGGGAGACATCCAAATGTCTAGTAATATAGTTTCAGCTGAATTTTGAATTGAAGAATGCAATACTAATGGAAGAGGATGTGGTAGAAGGTTAATGGAAAGGTGCAATATGCTTTGTAAAATTTAAATAAATAAATATAAATAAAGAAAAGAAAAGAAAAAAAACTTTGACTTTTTGACAATTTTGACTCAGCGTGTTGTATAAATATTACTATAATATTAAAAATACATACATAAAAATTAATTCAGAAAAAAATTACATAAAGAATATAAAAATAATTATATAAAAAATTTTCCTGCATGTAGTGCTATAGGCTTTATTTCTTTAATATCTAATAATTGAAAAACCTTTTGTACATAATAGTACTGTAGCTTTATATTTTACAGTGTTGTGTTAAATTTAAGTCTATTTTAATGATTGTTTATCTTGATTTGTTCCTATTCTCTTGCATTTGAACTGTATGTTGCAACACTGGAATTTTCCCATTGTAGTACAAATAAAGGTTCTCTCATCTTTATCCTAAATGCAAAGGGCTGTTTTTGTTATATAACATAGAAAGGCTTTATGTAATAAAAAAAATAAACATACAAAAGACAAGTGTTTAGTCAGTGCACTTTAACATCTAATAATCTGAAAAATATCTGAAATTCTTGTCAGGAGTCCAAACCCTGCTTCAAACCACACATTTACATTGACTCACCACTAAAAACATTGACTCATGGGGTAAACATGCGTACGACCCAAGGCCTCTCGTGATTCATGGTTTTGTAAATATTGCGTGGTTTGGTGGGCACGAGCTCTTGCCTCAGTCCAAGGTAAATATTGTTATCTTAGTTTTATGTTAACTAGAGGTGTGTTGGGGGAAAAATTGAAAAGAAAAGCGCAAAAGTACAGGAAATAGCGCTGAGGTCTAAAATGGAAAACCTTTATCTGTGTCAATAATAAGGAAAATGACATCCAAAAGCAGGGGAAATTTAAGAGCTTTAAAGGTGCACTGTGTAACTTTTCGATTAGGGGTCAGTCACCTTTTTGAATCCGTGTATCTTTCGTTAATTCATTTTTTCAATATAAAACCCAAAAGAATACAACGAAAAAACAACGGTTTTCTTCATTATTTGTCTCCAAAACCAAAATGAAAAAACGTATAACGATCAGTTTTTTCAGTTTCCTATTTTGTGTTTAAATGAAAAATGGAAAAAGATAACGGCCGTTTGACTTAAACTGCGATGCTGGACTTTTGCGCCACATACGGACTGAACCAGGACTAAACCAGGACTAAACCAGGTCCGGGACCAGATCGGAACCAGATTGGGACTGAGTCCAGGACCAAGACCAGGACTGAAAATGGTTTAGTCCTATTTGAGTCCTGGTTTAGTCCTGTTTCATTCCTGATTCAGTCAGTTTTGCGGTGCAAAAGTCCGGCATCACAGTTTAAGTCACGGAAACGGAAAACGTTATCCGTTTTTTCATTACCGTATTTTCCGCACTATAGGTGCTCTGGATTATAAAACGCGCTGTCATTGACTGGTCTATTTTCAAACTTTTTACACAAATAAACCACACCGGACATTAAACAAAACACAACAGTTGGATGGGTCAGTGGGAATTTGTTTGTCGCGTTCACGGTGACTCTGGGCTTTGTTCAGTTGTGGCGTGTAGGGAGGGTGCTGTCTGGGACCGCTGGATTGTTGCCGTGTTCGCAGTGACTCAGTTGGTCAGTTGTGGCTAGAAATGGCACATTGCACTCGCTTTTTTGTCGCTTTGTTGTTTTTCACTGTTGTTTTTCGCTGCGCGGTCGCTGTCTGCTCCGTGCGTGTTTGCGTGCGCTGTGGGTGGTGCGACTTTGTAGTTTACTGAAGTCGTGCTGGGACACCCAAGTGGATTCGTGTATAGGGCGCTCTGGATTATGGGGAGTTGTTTTTTGATGGGGTTGGAGGCTTAAGAGTGCGCCCTATTGTGCTGAAAATACGATATTCATTTAAACACAAAATCGAAAACTGAAAAAAACTAATCATTTTCTGTTTTTTTCATTTTGGCTTTGGAGACAAATAATAAAGAAAACAGTTTTTTGTTTTTTTTTTATATTGAAAAAAAGAATGAACGAATGATACACAGATTTTTTTTTGTTTCTATGGATATGTCATGGATATGTGCTGTGTCTAGAATGTTCCACAAAATGACTTTAAACAGATCTACCTTACATTTATTCAATTACAGATGGTTTTATTGATTTTGTCACTAAGGAAAAGACCTGATGACAAAAAAAAGCTAAAAAGAAAAACTAAATACCCCCCGCTAAATCCAAATATTTCACAGATGATTTACCTCTGCACTTTGTCGCTGCATCTTGTGAACTGAGCAGGACGCCTGCTCTTCTTCTCCTGATCCTTCGCGTTCCGACTCTCGCTCCCGTTTCCCTGTGACGCCCCCTCTGGTGTGGAGGTGCAGTCCTGTACAAAAATAGTCATGCAAAAAATTTTACAAAAGATCTGATTTTAAACAAGACTCATTTGCTTAAGAGAGAGAATATGTGATTCACTGAAAATGTATTGAAATTTGAATAATGGGTGCATTAAAGGTGCATTCCATTATCTACTTGTCTCCATGGTGATGTTATTGCTTTGTCTGGAATGTTACATGGTATGACTTTAAACACATCTATATAACATGTATTCACTACAGGCGTTTTTATTGCTCAGAAATACAATAACTCCTTTCGTGAATGGGGTGACTCTCCACAGATCTGACTTGTAATGTTGCGTAGTGCGGTAACCTGCTTGTCTCCCTTGTGACAGGTTTAATCTATACTGTGGAACATTCTTGACAATGCTGTAACACTTTCAAGGAGACAAGCAGGTGGCAAAACCTCCTCTAGAACTGCAATCGAGGCTATATCCATATCCACGAAACAAATATTGTTTTAAAAAGATTTCGATAAATATGGCACAAAGGCTGCAAGATGATTCACAATTGTAATTTCATTTCAATTTAGATTAGACACAATTATTCAGTCAAAAAGCAGCAGTTATTTTTAAGTATAATAATTTCCTAAACAACCTTGAGTTGTCATGAAGTAATACATGAAGTGCTCCACTGTGTTTTTAAACTTCACTAGAATCACTTGGATTATTTCAGACCTGAAAATTCCAGGAAACATGATAACATGACTAAAAGCTCACAAGAGACAATTTTGTGTGATACAGGAGCTTTAAACAGGTCACTGAAAACACTGGAAACTGCTGGAATACAAGGTCATTAAATGTGAGCTAATTATATTTATATATCCAGAAATGTAAAATGTAAACAAAAACCTCACCATGGTTATGACTGTGCACCTGTGGGCGATTGTGTAATCTAGAGATCAACATTCCTTCATGTGAATGAAAGTGTGATCCATTCAGAGAGAGAGACAGACACAGAGAGAGAGACAGAGACAGAGACAATTTTGTGTGATATAGGACCTTTAAACAGATGTGATTGAATGCGTCATAGTGAACAGACTCCAGAGCCGTCATGATAATAAATTTTGAAGCTCGGTACATTGCTACAAAGACATACTGCGATAAACTATAATACTGAAACCACTTTATCCTGCTCTGTTGTTATAGTGTCAGTGGCATAATCTCAGTGAACCATTTGTAAATAAACAGTGTCAGTCAGAAAACCTGATCTGCAACAATAAAACATCTCTCTCTCTCTCTCTGTGTCTCTCCATCTCTGTCCCCCTCTGTCTCTCTCGCTCCGTCTCTGTCTCTCTCTCTCTGTCCCCCTCTGTTTGTCTCCCTCCGTCTCTCTCTCTCCCTGTCTCTCTCTCTCTACCTCTCTCTCTGTCTCTTTCTCTCTCTCTGTTTCTGTCTCTCTCTCTTTAAATCTTACTGTCTGACGGTTGCACGGTTGTGTTCTCATCACGGTGGTGGACACTGACCTGGATGTTGAGGCACAGCGAACTCGTGGTAAACTCGGCTGCTGGTGATGTTCTGGCTGGTGTCTGGCACTGAGTGGTATCCTGCATCACAAACAACACCAAAGTCAAGTCAATATGATCAATATGGGGGGGGTTGTGATTCTTTTCCGAAGAGGACTGAACAATGGAGGCGACTGGAGGCAAAAAGAAGCAGACATAAAACCTTTTCACTGATTAATTGATTCACAGATCTAAATGCTATTGGCTTTACGACTCAACAAAGAATCAAATCAACTATTTTATTAATGTTTTTTTCTCTCAGGATGAATAAAGTATCTCTCTCTCTAACCCAAGAAATTTTAAATTGTTGCTGAAATTGTAAATTGTTTATTTTTTAAGATGAAATGAAAAATGATTGTTTCCCAGCCTTGTACTTCAGCTTCACAAAAGTATAACTTATGATGAAAAGTTATACTGAAGCTAATCCCTTCTAGCCTGATTCATCAGCCGGTTTCGCTTTGTGGAAATCATCTGACCTCGCAGCATTAAGATTCGTTCACTCAACGGTAGGCAGGTACTTTTTTTATTTAACCAATCGCTGCAATTTGGTCGTGATGTATGTAATGCGCCAAATCCCGTAGTAAGAAGGACAATGTCTTTCACCTTGATACAATTCACCAAACATTCTCTTTGTTTCGGCTTTAAATCCTCGATCTTGGGAATCGTTGTCAACACAGAATGTCTGTCTTCGTTTACATCCATCTCGACGCTTTGTTTACTGCTGTGCTGTACCACAAAAGGGACACAGACAGACGCTTGAGTTTGTCGTCATGGCTTCACAGCTCTTCGCTGATCATAACATAATGTTACATCTGTTTTTACCCCTATCTGTAATAATCCTGAGTTTTTACCTGGAATAATTGACAGTAGATTTCAGATTTGGGCACAGAAAGGCCTATCCAAATTGCACAATTTCTTAGAGGGGCGTAACCTAATGTCATTTAACCAATTGACTGAGAGATATGATATTTCAAGGAAAGACTTTTACCAATATCTACAGGTGAGGGATTTTTGTTAGGAAAGATACTGCACATCCAGTCTTTGGAGAAATATCGGACATGGAAAGACAGATCTTCCTTACAAAGTCAACTGCTTCCATTAAAATATTTTACAATATCCTTAAGGGGTATTCTACTGTAGACTCTCACCTGAAAGGGCTCTGGGAGAGCGAACTTGGTTGTACGATTACTGATGACAAGTGGGAAAATGTCTGGAACAATGCAAAAACTCAGTGTGTTTGTAATAGGGTTAAAGCAACTCAGCTTATGATTCTCCACAGAGCTCACATTTCTCCTAATCGATATATATAATTAAAAACCTAGCTCCTCGCCATTGTGTTTTGAAGTGCAAAAAATGAGATTGGTACCTTACACACTGTTTTGGTCCTGTCCAAAAGTGCAACAATTCTGGACATGATTGGACAAGAAATAGAAAAGATTCTGTCTGTAAATTTTAACCAATGATCCTCTATTTCTGTTGCTTGGTGTAGACTGACCCCGTTGTAAAAGATAAATATAATAGAAAATTGTATGGGATGCTGACTTTTTTGTGCCAGAAAAAGTCTACTAGTGAATTGGATATGTGACAAGACCCCACAAAAACTCAATGGCAGAGGACGGTTCTTGGGTTTTGTTTCTCTTGATTACCTGACGTGTCGGCTTCATCATAAGGACAATGTCTTTAAGAAGACTTGGGAACCATTTTTGATGTATTCTGGACTTGAGATCTCAGCTATCATGAATAGGGTATTTTACATTTTGAAATGGCTGTTATCTGTGTCTATATATGAATGGGCCAATGTTTGTTTGTTTGTTTTGTTTTGTTTAATTTTGCTTGTATTCCTTATATTGTTATCTTGTTGATTATTTTGTTTAAACTAAAAAGCAATAAATATATATGCAAAAAAAAAAAGTAAAGTAAATTAAAATAAACTTAAAAATAAAAACATCTTTTACTTTTGTAACCTTTTCGCCTCTTGTGTCCTCTTTAATATGTTTGATCCACCCGGGTCGTAACAGCTGGAAAGAAATTAAATTAACCGGAGGCTCTAGGTGGCACCAGCCTGGCTAAGTCCCTTCTACATTCTGTTTGAATCCAGAAGGACCTGGAACCGGACCATAGAGTCTGAAAATCCTTGGTCCTAACCTGGGACAGTCCAACCACAGACACTAATATGCATCATGTGTTTGTCAAATGCAGATGACATCTCCTCTCAAAAATTCTCATAACATTCAGGACAAAATATATAACTTCTTACAGATAAAAAGTAGTTTGATTCTTTGATTGCTGATTCTGTAAAAATCTGCACTGTTTCTCAGTTCTTTATGTCAATTTTTCCCTTTGATAGACTACTGTGCCTGTCAGTCAATACCTCTGCTGTGTATTTCATCTTAACGTTATTCAAGCTTTGTGAATGCCGGGTTTTTTTTTCTGATTCAAATTTTCACTAATAGTTCACGGCCAGGGTGTATGCGTACAGATTTGTATCACACTAAAAACACACACTAAAAAGCTACTTTTTCACTTCCTTATACTTAAAATGAACTATGACACTTTGGTGGAGGGTACTCTCCCATGGCTAGAATGTTCCCCAGATGTTCAAATTTTTAGAAATAGCAACATCTGCGTTTGGTCACCTAATCACCACGGATCTGATATTTAATTTGTGCTCGTCCCACAACGAAACTGTAGATTATTTATACATGCATGAATGAGAAACGTCAGCTCTGGGCATGTTTTGATGAGGTCACACTTGAGGAGAGTCTTTACTCAAAAGACATAATAGCCATTGTACTATTATTCCATTTTATTTGACAAATTAACATGCTGCTATTCTCATCTCTCTTCAGTCCTGCACAGGTAGACTCACCATGCTGTTGCTGCTGCTGCTGCTGCTGCTGCTGCGTGTGAGGCTGGGGCAGAGGCTGCATTCTTTGCTGTTGTGTGCTCTGCTGCTGTCCCACTGCGCTGGGCCCCGTCTGCTCCTCACTGTCAAAGTTCAACAAGATGCTCCCGCTGCCGTTCGCCGCGGCAACCGGGCTGCCCGATACCCCATGACCTAGACACATGTCAAGAAATTAAAAAAGGTTTTGCGTTTTTTTTCTAGACTTTGTTAAACCTGGGGTGCGCTGGATGATTTTTCTTTCTTCATCTAAGATTTCTGGATGTTTAAATTGTATGTCAGCGCACATGTACACTGTGTGATGTGACTCATAGCCACTCGTGTCTATAACCAAGGTTTATCTGAGTGGTTATCTGTCTGTGATAAAGTGGCCAAAATCTGTGTCTGTATCTGTGTTTGTGTTTGTAAAATAAGTAGTAATGTAAATGTAAGAGCGTAAATGAAAAGTAAATGAAAGAGAAAAAGGGTAAGGCTCTGTGTCATGACTTAACTCTTTGGTGTGGGGGAGCCTGTGTTTGCTGATTTGACTAAGACTCACGCATTTCAGAGTGCATTATCATGAGAATGAAAAAAGAAAAACTTTACACACTAATCACATTTCAGTACATAGCAGACAGATAAACGACAACATGGCAGTAAACAGCATCTTAATGTGGTGTCGTTATTCGGGATGTAAAAATATCCAAATCTCTCGGTACAATATTATCACAATCTTACAGTACGATATTTATTGTGATATTTTGAAAAAGGCTAATGTAATTGTAGATAGGACACATTTCTGCTTTTAAAATACCTTGATTATTCAATTCACATTCAATTCAAGTAAAAAACATTTCTTTGTGGTGTCTGCAGTGAAATGAATCATGGGATATGTAGTTCCCTATGTTTATAACGGTATTCCCAGGTTTGACTACCCCAAATTTAAGACTTTTTAAGACCATTTAAATGAAAATTAAGCACAACATCGCACCCAGTTGCATCCGATTCTATTAATGACCAACCAACTACTATATCTTGGGTATCTCAGGTATACTTGAGCTTCACAAAAGTATAACTTATGATGAAAAGTTATACTGAAGTCAGTCCCTTCTAGCCTAATTCATCAACCGGTTTCACTTCGTAGAAAACGTCTGACATAATTTAAGACTTTTTAAGGTCTTAATTTAGGAACATGAAATTTAAGACCTTTTTAAGACTTTTAAGCTACCCTGTATAAGCTATTGCTACTGTAAAACCATGCATTTAAGCAAAGAAACTTCGATATATTGTGACAGCCCACGATATTATTCTGAGATGTTTGACAATACGATATCATGATATTTCGGTTACGGTTACATCCCTAGTCGTTATTGTAGCACATGTTCTGTGTTTCTCTTATATTTGGCCTGTCCTGGTGTTGCCACAGTAAAATTTTAAATGGATTTATTGCGCTAAACTGTCTTTGAAAACTTCTTAACGAGTTTAAAATATGAACTTTGAGCAGAAATAATTTGATATTCCCCCCAAATCGTTCAGCCCTATTTTATTGTGATATTTTCTGTAGCGCTATATTTCAGTTGGAAATGTGTTATTATGACAGACTTATGATTTCCTACATAGTGAGCCTGTCCCTGAACGTACCGTGGCCATTGCTGCTACTGTTGTTGTTGTTGCTGTTGGCTCCGGGGGGCTGCTCTCCGGGTGAATACGCCATCATCCCTCCGTTCCCGTTCCCATTGGTGGATGGCACCGACGCCAAAAGACCTGAAATAAGAAACGCCATGTTATCAAATATATTTATCATTAGAATAAAAGGTGCATTGTGCAACTTTTCTGGTAAAGCCCTGCTACCTACTTGGCAGCCATGGCGATGTTATTGCTTATTGAGCAAAGAAGTGTGAATGTTGACTCAGTCTTGTTACTTAAGTAAGAGTTCATATAGTGGAGCAAATACTCAAGTAAAAGTATCACATGAAGTGTAAAAGTTAAAAAATATGCTTAAAAATTATTTTGTACAGATTTTGAGGTCTTATAAGGCTTCAAATGTAGTGATTTGTGCTGAATTTTGACCACCTGAATCATTGTTTGTTTGTTTTTACCCAGCAGTTTTTATTTGTATTTTTTTGTTTGCTGAAACTATGAACATATAAAAATAAATCCTCAGCCTTTTCAGCAGGTCTCAAGTTATAAAAAAAAAACAACTTTCAATATTCAGTCTTGTTTAAAAATGTAGTGGACTAGAAAGTACAGATACCTGCTCTCAAGTGAAGTACAGGCAGCTAAAATTTATACTTAAAAGTGCACTATGCAACCTTTTAGTCGGGGGTCCGTCACCTGCTTGTTTCTATAGATGTCTTTGCTCTGGCTGGAATGTTCCTCAGTATGACTTTAAACAGCTCTACTTTACATTTATTCATTTACAGGTGGTTTTATTGCTCAACAATACCTAGAAAAACATACATTCTGATTATGAGTGGGGTCGCCTCTCCACCGATCTGACCTGTAACTTGCCTTGTTTGGTCTCCAACAGAAAAGTTACACAATGCACCTTTAAGTACAGTACTTTACTACTTTTACCTTACCCTTTGCCCGTTGCTATGGTGACATCAGACCGTGACATAAAAACATTGTGTAGGTGCAAGTATGTGAGTTTCGTTACATCTGTTTGGCTAAATACATGAACTGTATTTAGCCAAAAAGAAAATATCAGAGACTTCATAGCAATTGGTGACTCAGCCTTTGCACACACACACACACACACACACAGACACGTGGCTCGATACAGGGGTAAGTACAGTAAGTGCTTCCATGGAGATGGCTTAAACAATAAAGAATATTCCTGTAATTGTTTATTGACACCAGTTTTACAGCTGAGATATCCATGGGTAAATGTTTGTTTGTCTATTCGTAATCAAAAGATATAATTAAAAAACAGTTTTTATAAATAGTGACAGAAATAAATGTCACTATAAATAAATAAATAGTGACGTACTACAGAATATAATGTTATTGCAGTACGAGCATTCTGTGCTATTTTGGGGACATTATTCTGTTTTTTTGGACACATTAATTGTAACAGATAAAAATAGGATCTTTTCCATCAAGTCAGCATGCAGGGAGTACTCAGACTACGCCCATTGTCTGTTTTTGCTTGTTCCCAATCTACATGAAGGACAATGGTCAAATTGCTATGAAATTAAGATCTGAGACACAACATTTAGGAATTTAGCATTTCTGGCAACCATTTAAAAATATTGTCCTCAGATTGATTTTCAATTTATCAGTAAAAATGGCTTTCAGTATTATTTTTTTCTGGGGGAAAAAAACGCTGAATAAGCACTATCTAAACACACTTTTTTTTTTTTAGGTGTGATTATGAATAAAACACTTTTAAATAAATACTGACAGCGTAAAGTCACTAGCATTAGCCGCTTTCTCTAGCTTGAGCTGTTAAAGCTGAGCAATTCTGTTTTCATCACTAATGTGAGATCCACGATAAATAAACCATGCATGATTAATATGCAGTTGAGCGCTCTCTAGTGGCATAATTGTGTATTACAACTACATGTAAGACACAAGGCAACACAAGGCAAAGTGATTAAAGTGGGACTTAACAATAAATCCATCCACAACCACATTTCAAACAGAGCAGCTAAACTCTGAGGACTAAGGAAGAGAGTGAGGGGGAGGACGGGGGGATATAAGGAATAAGAGGTTATGCTCCTTATGCTAAAAGGAGCGACGGTACCTGATTTATCTGTTATCAACGTTCATATCTGGATTTATGGGCAAAATAAAAAGAAATAAAATAAAAGTCTGCTTGACCTTGTATTGCTTTGTCTGTTCCATAGTATTTATTCAGCACATAAAAAGGACTATATGACAGGCTTTTATTCTGGACTCTAACAGTGCACTTCTCAGTTCAGTACTTTCAGATTGATAATAACTTACAGACTTCTTATTATTATCATTTATATTCATAGTATTAGAGTTGTTGCTAATGTGTTGGGTTTTATTTGTTTTATTTGTTTTTTTGTCTATTTTCAACAGGATCAAGTAGAGCGGATTAACAATGAACATTTTACGACCCAAATGACAAGCCTGCAGTTACAGAGAGAAGGGCATCAATAAACTGGAGTCAATGGACCTAGAATCGCATCCATGCTCACTTCATATTTGGAACACAGCCATCAGGTTAGCTATGTCCATTTAGATATACAGTCTCTACGCCATAAACCCCCCGGTCTTACCCAAGCCCCGGTAGCGACTGAGCTGTTGGTAGATCTGCTTCATCCTCTCTATGTTGAGCCTGCTGGCCTCGGCGTGGTGGACCATGGGTTTGGGGTAATGCACGCCGATGATGCATTTGGCGGCGGCCTGCACGGACTCCGGCGCGTTCCAAGGGTCGTAGATGTACTTAGCGGGGAAACCTCGGAGGACAGGTAAATAACGTCTGAAAGCACAGGGAGAAATCAGACATGCCAGCTTGTACGAAAATAGAAGAGCGTGTTTCGAACGGGCTTAATACGAGGAAGCAAAAGTCAGTCATATCATAAAGGTAAAGTTTCATAGGAAAATATGGTACAACATGTACTACAACAAAGCTAAGAGTAAAAAATATGAGGAAAATCTGCATATAGGTCAAATCAAACAAACAAATATGTTTAAATATTGTCTTGTATTATTTTTTGTTTTATAATTAAGAAAAATATTTACTTAAAATGTGCAACTTCGACTTCTTACTCCAACACTTTTCTTTTTTAATGGCCCAATTAGTAGAAATGAAGTAGGAGCATGCGGTTATTCTTAAAAAAAAAAAAGTTTATGGAAAATGAAAGCTACAAAATGGAAGCTACAGACATTCACAACACTGCACAAAGTAGTAATGATCTTCATAGTGCACTGGAGTGAGTTAACAGCACAGTGCTCGAGCATATAGAGAGAGATAGAGAACCAAGGGCTGTGGTCCCAAGCAACAATTACTTAAATGCAGCCACACGCCACCAAAATATTCTCCAAAATAAGCCAAAAGCCGAGGGTGGTCTCAACATTGCTGTTTTTTTTTTGGTTTTGTTTTTTTCTGTCGTGGAATTCCGCCGTTTTGGACAAAAAAGATCACCTACCTACTTGTTGCGACCTTACCGAGAGTCCCGAGAGCGAAGGGAGACAGACAGAGGAGGGGAGCTGTGGAGCTGTGGGGAGCGGCACAGTGCAGCTCTGAGAGGCAGAGAAAACAAAAAAACAACAGGACGGGGTTTGGGGTGGAGCAGGGGGGAGGGCAGGAGGGGTGTGGGGGTGGTTGGTTGGGGGTGGGGTTGGTTGGGATGGTGGTAGTTGGTGGTGGGGTAGGTAGTTGGTTGGGATGAAGGTTGGTGACGGTTGGAGTGTGGTTGGTTGGGATGATGTTTTTTGGGGGGGTGGGGTTGGCGGTTGGGATACTGATTGGTTGGGTGTGGCGTTGGCGGTTGAGGTGTGGTTGGTTAGGATGGTGGTTGGTGGGGGTGGGGTTAGTTTTGGGCGGTGGTGGTGTAGGGGTGGGCGATATCGCGATATTTTAAATATATCAAGATAGTTTTTAAACTCGATATGAATTCTGACATATCGTATATATCAATATAATGCTTATATTTAATTTCACCGCGTCGCCTCTGCGCGCCCCCGCCTCCCTGATTTTGTTCGCTTGTGTCTCCTTCACTCGTCACTATCGCAGTGAATGCCGAAAGTTGGTGCCAGTGAAAAGCTTCAAGCACCACGAACCTTTTCCACCATTTACAGACAAAACCATCAGCGGCACATCCTCACATTCCACCGAGCCGCATCCTTCAGCCCGAAAGAAACTAAACGAGCTGAGCTGCGTGAGAAGAGCGCTGTTTATGCAAATGAGCCATGCACTTAAGTTTCGTTTCTGTAAAATGTAAACACACGTGCGCAAAACTGCATTAAACACATTATTATCTCAAACGGGTTGATGTGGCTCTATAGTCGTTATGCTTTATATCTTGTAAAGTTTAGCAATGTAAAGTCTATTTATGCAGAAGATTTGAATTAATCTGTTGCAGTGTCACTTGTACAATAGTGTGTGGAATCGTTGGGTTTGATCTGCAGTGGATTGTGGGATTAAACCTCACAGCTCCTTACTGCTGGATAATAACATGGATCTATTGAAATAAGGAACATCCTGAGCTTCTTCTGCTGAAGGAGCTCACGGTTATGATTATGGTTTGGATAACAGAGTTAATGCGAAGATGATCTTGTGTTGAGTTGTTTTATTTATGAATGAAAAGAAGGAAATATGTATTATTTCTTTTATTTTACAGTTAAATCATTATTTATGTAATTAGGGTTTTTTGTAATCTTAAATGTTCCTGTATGAACTGCCGACCTCTTACACTTCAATTAAAAAAAAAGGACCTTGTGGAATTTGGCATATTTGTTTTTGCAGTTTTCAGTTTTAGGGGGTTATTTTTTCTTGAACATATATCGAGATATATATCGTATATCGAGATATAGCAAAATATATCGAGATATATTTTTTGATCCATATCGCCCAGCCCTATGGTGGTGGTTGGTTGAGGGGGGATTGGGTGATCGGGGGCTTGGTGGTTGATTGGTGGGGTTGGTTGGGTGTGTGGTCGGCGGTTGGGATGGTGGAGATTGGTTCAGGGGGAGTGGTTGGTTGAGGTGTGGGGGTGGTGGTTGGTTGGGGGCTTGGTGGTCGGTTGGTGGGGGTGGGGTGGTTGCGGGAGTGGTGGTTGGGGTGGGTTGGGGCAGGGGGGAGTGGTGGTTGGGGTGGGTTGGGGGAGGGGGGGTTGGTAGGGGGGAGGTACCACGGCACTCCGGGTTTGGATCGCCGAACGCTGCCCACTGGCCCGGATGGAGCTTAGGAGGACCTCTACTGTAATACGCAGTTAGAAAGCAGAGAGAATTGACCCACCCCGAGCCCACCTGCCCCGAGCCCACCCGCCCCCTGAGAGGAGCCGGTGCACAGGGGAACAGTTCTGCCAACGGTGTCTACGAATTTGAAAACACATGCGGCTAGAGCAGGTTAGTAAAGGTTAACTAGAGGAGAAGTAAGCGGTGTTAATGTTATAAAATAAACGGGACATGGCCTGACGTTCAGCGTGCAATCTTCACAACCCCAAACCCTCCGCGTACTTTTAACAGGCGAAAGAAACTTATGGAAGTTAGCTAAGCTCGGCAGTTAGCTCAGTTGGTTAGCTTGGTTGTTAGATGCAGGCATTAATAAATGTTCATAATGAAATGAATGCTTCATGATAACTCTCCGTCTCATTGTAACGTTAGCTTCACTCACTCACTTCTCTGAATGTTTCTGAATGCAGACCTACAGAGCTAGTGTGGTGCTGGTCGCTGGCAGAAGTGGTCCACTGTACGACACGGCTCCATGCCCCCCTGCCCAGGCCCCTCCCCATGATCAGACAGAGGAGGAGTGAGAAACGAGCTCATGCCTGCTTCCCCCGATCCCCCTTCAGACTGTGGTGGTTGTCTTTTAAGTGGTCAGTGGGCCAGAGCCTCCCTGCTGACTGTTCCCTCCCACAGCCACAGCGCCGCACTCTGGGCTGGCCCACTAGGGGGCCCCCTCATTTCACCAAAAAGGACCACAACCCTTTTGCCAGGAAGATCCGCGACCTGCCAATGACAAGTGGCCCCTGGGGGCAGCGGGTGGTGATGTAATGCTTTGTGTACAGAAAATATGCAGCTGCAGTGTTGGCCAGCTAACAAGTGATGAAACAGAATGAGTGGACTATGGCAGGTGTGTTTGTGTGCAGGTCTGTGAGGCTGTGCTGAGTGTTGGTGTGATGAGCAGTGCAGAGGACAGCCCTGTGTTAGCCAGCCGCTGCTCCAGGGCCACTCGCACCAACAGGGCTGCATTCTCCTAAGCAGAGCACCACTGAACATTTCACAAAGGGCCGGATGAGGGGCTTTGCCCAGCGCTTGGACAATGGACCGGCTCGCGTGGCACGGCGCGGGTAACGAGTACCAGCGCTAGCTGCAACACTGCGATGGCAGACAGCTGGTCCAACGCCTCTCCTCACTACCCTCCGGGGAATGCTTCATAGTCCTCTACCTAATGAATGCAGGCCAGGCGTTCGTATTTCCCTACCAAGCGGTCAGAATCCCTTTTGACGAAATGAGACGCCACCGAGTTACAAACCTGTCCAGAGGGCGCTGCTGAGGCGCGAGCGAGATAAGAGTGTCCCTCAGGGTTGCACACAAAGAGAACCAAGCGGCCACTGGAGTCTCCACTCACCCTGAGCCCATTCGGGGCGGTCAGACCGAGGCAGGCCGCGCCGGAATGGAGGGTGGAGAGAACAGCAAATGAGCTTAAAAGCAATCAGCTACAATCAGGAGGAGAGGGACAGCTGAACTTTTCTCCCAATCCCCCAAACAGATGAGCCAACACAAACACAGCCACATTAGAGAGTTAAACAAGCGCTACGTCTGCCTTGAAAAGTATCAGTCGGCAACAAGTATATAAATATAGATATAGACACTAAAGTTACACACAATACAGGGACATTCACACACACTTACAGCCATAAACACGCAACTGTACACGTCTCAACATAGACCGGCTCAAAAAATACCATGCTGAAGTTTCAAAATATGAGTATACAACAGGGCAAATTTAAACAGGGAAAAGGGACTTAATATGGGCTTCACCTCACCTACCGGGGAGCCTGGAGGTACCCCCGTCAACCCCCGTCTCTGCAAAACTGGCCCTTCACACTCAATTTTAACTGCATTTATACAAAAGTAAATCTAAACCTAAATCTGAATTTTTAAGCACAACTTCCAATATGCAGTTATAGTTCTCTGTTTTTATTATTGCAGCTGTTTAGGAACTGACATTTTGAATATTAAATTGTGCACGAACTTTGTACTGTTCCTAATGCTAATAATAATACTACAGTAATACAGTCACATTTTCAGGTTCCTTTTAGACACACATGGGAAAAATGATATGGAGATAATTTTTTTGTCATTTTGTCCCATAGTTTGTGCCTGACTTGTTTTGCATGATTATGTTTGCATACGCAGTTCTATTTATATGCAACCAGCGGCCTACGCAAAGCAAAGACATAAATTTAGTGCAGCTATCTTTTGCATCTCCAATTAGTACAACCATCTTTTGAATACTTCCATTATGTCGATCTGTATTGTCATTTTTACCTTTGGAGGATTCCCTTTAGGGTATCGGTCTAGTGCGTGGTAATTTGTCATGGATTCATGTTTTAGTAATGTTTATTTTTATATTTTGGGATTGTGAAAGTGTGTGTAACTAACTAAACTAAATCAAATCCTGTGCAAATGCTAATAAAATAGTTACAGATCATGCTCTTGTGTTCTCAATAAAAATCAAATAAATGAATGGAAATAAATGGATAAAAGTAATACATTACTTAATAATTTTGCACAATGGGCAGAATTTAAAAATAGTGTATGTTTTAACTTTGTGATACAAATAGTGATCCTACTTTTTTTGTTGTTGTTGTTGTTGTTAGAGGTAAATTTTACAGAAATATTAACTGCAAAAACACCACAAGGAAAGATTTTTAGATAATGTTTGCAGAAGACCAAGTTACAGAATAAGAAAGCTTCCTGTTACATGCAACATTTGAGCACTTTTCCAAAAAACTACAGTATTTAATTTTGAATTGTTAATCACTACGGCTACAAATTTTTCATCATTCTGAAACTCGTGGATTTCAAACTTTTTTCTAGTAGTGCAATGCAGAATTTGAGGTCCTATGTACTTTGTAGAGAGTTTATAGAGACACAGAGAGGAAGGTGGCGATCTAAAACTGTTTTTTTTTCTTTACCTCCTTTTCCAATATGCAGTTATAGTTTTATGGGTACTGCAACTGCAGCCGTGGAGTGTTTTAAGTCTCGTCTTAAGACCCACTTTTACTCTCTCTCTGTCTTTTATTTATTTAATTTTATTCATTGTTTTATCATTTCTAGCTTTACGCATTTTAGCACTTTTTATTTTTTGTTTTTGAATACGATTTACTGTCTTTTATTGTATTCATTTGTCTGTGCAGCACTTTGGAAACTGTCATGTTTATAAAATGTGCTATATAAATAAAGATTTTGACTATTACATTATTCAGTTTGAGTACAGTTAATCATATCGTCTTTGCTCTGTTTCCTTACAACCTCTTGTTTATAGCTGAAATATTTTTATTACATACTGCTATTTTATTTTATTTTTACTTGTATATATACTTTTATATAATTATGCCTTATTTGACACTGGTCTGTTGCTATTTTTGCTACTTATTAAGAATGTATTATTAGCATGTATATATATGTTTTTTTAGTATAATGTGATGTGTGAGCTACTGTGTCCAAGTAATTTCCCCTGTGGATCAATACATTTTGTCTAAGTCTAGGTCCTGCGTGGTTTATAGAGAGTTTATAGAGACGGGGGAGAAGGGTGCCTTCCAGCTGGTCATCAGAAGCAGCAGCAGCGACACCTAGGGGCGGAGCGGGGAGCTGTACCCACCTGATGAAGTCCCCGTTGGGGTCGGTGCGGCGGCCGAAACCCACGGGGCAGTAGCAGTGGAAAAACTGCTGGAAAAATGAGCTGCAGGACAGCCACATCCAGCTCCCAGCATTCACGCTCCAGTCCGCGTCCAACAGCAGCTCCTCGAACACCTACGGCGACACGAGAGGGACAAACAAGTCAAATTTTAAAAGGGCTGAGGTGACGAACCAGAAGTTACATAGACACACCTATACATGTTTAAAGGTCCAGAAATCCATAATGATCAGACTTTGAATGTAAATAAAGCAAAAGACTAAACCCTAGAACTTTAATTATATTCATTTTTGATGCCCTATTTACACTATTTTTGAGTATGCTCTGATGTTGTTTCCACATCGCAAACATACCTGGAATTGTGTTTTGTTTCATTCACACATGTTTAACACAAACCCTGCATATTCAGGCTTGGTCTTGCACCTTCCTGCTTGTGTGAGATTTTGACCCCTCACCAACCCAGCAGAGCTCTACGATCTGCTGGGCAACATCTGCTGGAGGTCCCCCGGTCCCGGTGCAAACAGTGGGGTGATCGTTCTTTTGCAGTGGCCGGTCCAAAACTCTGGAACTCTTTGCCCATTGAGTTACGGTCCATCCCTGATCTGCCTTTGTTCAAAGCCAAATTTAAAACCTACTTATATAGAACGGCTTTTAACATTTAGTGGCCCTGTGACGCTTTCTTTATTTTAATGGCGTAATGTGCTTTGTTGACATATTTGTATGATGTTTATTGTTTTTTATCTTGTTTTAATGTTGTACAGCGCTTAGGTCATCTTTGGTTGTTGGAAGATGCTATAGAAATAAAGTTTGATTGACTGATTGGTTGATTGTGACGTCGTGTGGTAATACAAGAAGTGCTTAAAAACTCCACACACTTCGCCTTGAATCGCTTGGATAATTTCAGCCCTGGAATTGTCGATCTTAACCGAGCAAAAAGTAAAAAGTAGCTGTTAACTTGAAAACTGGAGCTTTATGACAACAAAAGTAAAACCAAACATTTTGAGCTTTGGAGACGAAGACGGACTCTTAATTACTCATACAGTTCGATAGTTAGTCATTAGTTACAGTTACTCAACAAAAGTTATCGAAACCAGACACAAGTCTGGGAATATTTTGATAAGGTTACAGCATTCTCAGATGACTTAAAGCTTAGAAGAGTCATTTTTGTGTAGGGTGTTTAAATATCACGAGTGAATAAAATGTTACAATATCATCTGAAACCCAAGAATAGATCAGGCAGAAATGTGCAATATTTTTAGACTTTGTGTTTTTTTTGTTTTCTTTTTTCCCCTCCCTTCCTTATTTGAGCAGCTATTATTTTGTGTTATATGTTTTCATATGGATGGATTAGGCATGCCCCTGCTTGCCATGCATCTTTGTAAAGCAATGGAGCATCGGTGTATTCTTAGAAAACCAGGCAGATTAGGGAACATTGAGTGTTTTCACAGTGTGACAATGCAACTTTTATACCACATGAATTAAACGCCATTTTAAAAACATTCAAAGCACATTGCTGTTCGTATGTGCATTACTCACCCTCTCATACATCAGTGTTTTGTTTTGTTTTTTCTTACTACTTTCTACATTTTAGACACATACAGTAGAATAAATAAAGCAAGATATATGAAATTATGTTTTTTCGACAAAGCAAAAGTTGAGGATTTGGTTTTAACACATTTAAAAATTCAAAAACAAAAATATACTTTTCCAAACAATACTTACAATATCAACTTCTCATTCAGTATATGAAAGATGGAACAATATTTTTGGGGGTCAGTATTTATCGTGTGTACATTTTCTTTGCGCTATTAGGATATTTTTGGTAATTTTTGGACTATATGGCAAGATTTAAGCCACAAAAGGTTGAATAAATAAAAGTACTAAAGTGAATAGAATAGTTTCTCTGGTTTAAATCTGCTCTTGGGTTTTTGTGTCAGTGGCATAAATTGGTTTCAATATTATAATCCTATATTTTCTTCAGAAATATATCGAACTTCAAAATGTGTTAAATGTGACAGATCTACTTTGACAGATTAGATAAAACCGAGACGTTATTCTGAAATGGTTGTGATGGTGATATAATTGTGTGGTAAAGGCAAATTGGTTGCTCAAACTAAATGAGTCATACTGGAATAATACATATTAAAATGGGTATATCCCCACATACATGTTACAAATAATAACATATTTAAATATCGGAAAGACTGCATGTCCCATTTGCTTCCATGGAGGAGTTAATCCCAAAAGTCTCTTATCTGCTCACTGCTGGGAATGTAAATAACTAATACTAACAATTACGAAACACTGATACATCACAAGAGTGTAGAAGATAAGAATCCCTTTCGCCCACATCCCTGGTTTAGTGGGGGAGAAGGGCTCTGAGTAATGTTGTCAAACAAAACTATAATCATGGCAACTGAGAACCATAAAACAAATAACCATAATAAAATCTCCGAGGTGAATCCAAGATGGCGTTGTATTGTTTTCAGAGGCCTGTGCTCATTGGGGCATGGGCCCAAAAATCATTTTCTCTTTCGCATTTACTTCCTCAATAAGGGTGAGCTCTGTAACGTGCACGGCGTGGAGCATTTGGACCAATCTTACAAGTCTTACAAAGCTAATTTTTAGGAGCTTTGAGGACTGATTTTTTTTTTTATTTCATGTTGTGAAAATAGAAAAGAATTCCTACAAAATCCAACTTTTGTGAAAGATGTCAATGCCCTGTCAGCAAAACACGGGCAGTTTGAATTCCAAAACAAAAGATGCTTTGCGCTCTATGGGAGAATTCTTTCTGGGCCCAAGCTCCCGGGAGCTACAGTACTTGGAGCGGCCACTAGTTGGTCTCTCTCCCACAGAGGGGGAATGCCTTATTTAGTTTTTATTGTAGATCCATGCTCAGACTCTTTTGAAACGTTGCTTTTTAAGCTCAGTTTTTAACATCATGTCAGGGGTTTTAACCAACTAAGAAGTGCAGCGTGTGCAGTTCAAAGGACACAAGGGCTTGTTGTATTTTGTGCCAGTTAAGGAAATATGGACATTTGAGATGCCAGAGGCTTTTTACTAGCCTCATTCATCAGACAATTTCACTTTGTGGAGATTGTATAACCTTGCAGCATTAGGATTTGTTCACTCGATGGTAAGAGGGTACTTTTTTATTTAGTCAGTCAGTGCTATTTGGTCGTGATGTATGTAATGCTCCAAATCCCACAGGAAGAAGGGCAATAACGTCTTTCCCCTTGATACAATTCACCAAACTTTCTCTTTGTTACAGTTTTAAATCCTCGATCTCAGGAATCTTTGCCAACACAGAATGTATATCTTCGTCTACATCCATCTCGACCGCTTTGTTTACCATTGTGCTGTACCACAAAAGGGACCCAGACAGGCCCTTGAGTTTGACATCATGGCTTCACACCTCTTCTCTGATTGGCTAATGCGTGGTCTACAACTTCTGGGATTCTTGCAAATTGTCTAGTGTATTCCGATTCCTGATCTAGTCACTGGAGAGAAATTAAATTGAGTGTAGACAATCTGTGGCGACAACCTGGCTAGCTTTTTACACCATATGTGGCAAAAATGTGGCAGAAGATCTTCCAGAGGAAACACTTTGAGGGAAGGAACTGTTTCGTCACCGACCAAAACACTAGAGCGGAGTAAGAACAAGGCCTTTCCTGTTGTGTTCACCTGGATTCCCCTGGAGGCTGCTGTGATGCTGCAGGACACAGAGGAGGGACACTTTTGGCTCTTCCACAGGATCTGCTGACCCTCCCTGACCAGTCCTACTGTTAAACTGCACTGAGACCTTTGACTGAGACACAAAGGCCACTGAGACGTGCAGTGGATCAATAAAGTATCTCTGTCTCTCTCTGTCTCTCTGTTGCTCATGCCAGTGGGACCAACCTCGGTGAAAGAGGGCACCTATCATATCCTATCTTCATCTTCATTTAAGAACAAAGCTGTGAAATAAAAACCTCAGGATCATGTAAAGTGGACCAAAATGACGAGCAGCAGTTACAGAGAGGGGCAAAGATTTGTGAACTGGAGTCGATGGAGCTGATTCGAGCCCATGCCCACTTCCTGTTGGAGCACAGTGAGCAGGTTACCTATGTCCACTTAAAAATACAATCTATGTCCTGATCAGATGAACCTTTCCCTGAAGGAGATAACGCGGCTCCTCTGTATTTGCTGTGACTAATGCATCACAAGGTTGAGTATTTTGAGCTTTGAAGGTGTGAACAGACTAATAAAAAGATTACTCATGTTACACTTAAGGTGTGTTTTTGAGAAGGTAATTATATCTTAAGGCTGCCAAATATGGGACTTTTAAATTATCTGATTCTGTGCAAACATGCTCTGAAATTCTTTCGTTATTAGTTCATATTTTAGTCCTTTTGACAACTCACCTATGACTAAGCGATGTGATGTAAGGGGGTAACAGCTCAAGAATAACTTCTGTGGGAATTTCTTTTCTTACCTTCATGCCCTCTTCCCAGCTGATCCACAGATCTCCGCGGGTGAGGAAGCAGGCCACCGCGTGACGGGCCAGGTGATGTATCCAGCCCTCCTGCCTCAGCTGAGTCATGATGGCGTCGATCCAGGGGAAGCCGGTTTTGGCCTCTGCCCACTTGGCCAGGGCCTCGGGGTTCCGGTCCCAGGGGATGCGCACACAGATGGGGTTGCCCTCCATCTTGTCGAAGCGCGGGTTGTTGGTGGCGGCGGTGTAGAAGAACTCCCGCCAAAGCAGCTGGCCATACAGAGAGAGGGGAGGAGAGCTGTTCTTCTTCACCTGGACAGAAGAGGGCACAGGGGGTTTGAGAAAACACTAGAGATAGAAGATGGCACCTGTGGATCATTGTTTTATATTATGGACATTTTAAATCTCAATATTGATCTAAAATGGCTTCATTAAGAAGCTGACTTCCAGTTCAAAACTATGGTGTTGCTTTCTACCTGCTGCTTTCATCACCGTAAACATCATCACACACTCTGGGTAACTAAAGTTCACAAGTAGACTAAAAGAAATTTGCCAAATCTCCTCATCAAAGCCTGATCTTGTCCGAGCTTGAAAACTTGGATGGGAGAGCGCCTGTAATACCAGGTGCCACACTACGGCGCCAGTGGCAAAACTGTTGCTGTGTTCTGTTGCTGTGTTCACTTGCATAAAACATTGCCTCGTATGAATGTGGCGTGTGTGAGTATCACAGGAGCACAGATTGGTAGCTTCACTTCTGTCAGTCTGCCCCATGACAGCTGTGGCTACAGTTACCTCACCAGTGTGAGGTAAATTAATAATGCATGAAACTGTAAAGTGTAGTTCAGCATCTGTTATTTTATATAAGACATAATGAATATAAATGAATAAAGTTTTGTTTGGACACTACCGTGTTCCATCAGCAGGGGGAGCTGTAATCACCTGCAGTCCTCAGGTAGTTTCATTTCCACTCAAATTATGACTTAATCTACCTGCTGTAGCATTTGAGATTTTTTTCAAATGTTATGTGCAATATTAATAAAACGTATGTTTATTATTAAAATATCCTGTCTTAATCTGCATAAAAAACTGTTTAGATCTGTACAAACATGTTTGACATGTGATTTTTGTATTAGTTTGTCTGTTCATTTCAGTCCTTTTGTCAATTGAACATCACAATTCATCCAATTATTGAAATATAAATCTCAAATTTAATCACTGAACAATGCAAATTGCAATTACATATTTTTCACAAATCGTTCAGCCCAATCCCACTACATTCTCCTGCATATATCACATCTTCAAGCCTAGAATGTGTTACCAAATGATGACATATACATATGTTGTTTATGTGTTTGTGTGCAAACCTTGCGGTAGAGGTCGGTGAGTTTGTAGTAGAAGAGGCGGCAGGAGAGGCAGCCGAAGCGCAGGTAGGAGCTCAGGCCTGTGGGACTGGCCAGCAGCGAGTTCGCATTCATCCTGGGACGCTCAAAGTTTGCCACCCACGCCTGCACACAGAGAATAAAAACATGAACAATGTTGACACGTCATACTCATCATTAAAAAGTCTATACGAGCTATGAAAACTTTTCCATAAAATTATATTATTAAAGCCATTAACAAAATAATTTTTTATGCCAAACTGAGTCTTGAGAGCTTTAAGCTTTTATAAATGGTAAGATGAATATTGTTAACATGCAGGTTTCTGTTGTAATACAGTGATTTCTTGGTTTCACATGACGTCACATTATGCTATAGGCCAGGTCTGTCCAAACTTTTTTCATCAAGGGCCACATATCTAAACACAGACGAAGCAGAGGGCCGATCGAGGGCCGTAGACTGGTGCTTAGTACAGGGAATAATTGAAATATGTGCATGTTTAACATGTTAAAATGAGCCATCAGTCTGTATTCATGTTAAGATCCTTAAAACTACACACTAAATATTAAATATCAGCTTTATCAAGGTAGATTTTCAAAACCTTGCAGTAAAAAAATATTTTTTTATTGATGCAAAGTAATTTGGGCCAATTCACCTGGAAGTCTGAGGGCCAAGAAAAATGTGTCTGAGGGCTGCATTTGGCCCCCGGGCCATAGTTTGGACATGCCTGCTATAGGCCAATGTTATTTAATACAGATGGGGGCAGATAAAATTTATATTGTCCAATTGCAGATTTTTGTTGTAATACAGCATGGTCTTGGATCTAGTCAATAATAGAAATGATCAGATTCCATATTTGGGAATTAACCTTTCTGATATTTCATAGCAAAATACAGTAAAAATTAACAGGAAAAACTGGCTCTAACCCCCATCTGGAAGTATAACATTATCACATTCTAAAATCTGAAAAACCACAAATTTTTTTTGCCTGAAATGTTTCACAATGTGGCTTTAAACGTATCAATCTTACAGTTATTCAAATACAGATCTATGGTTTTACTGGATGTGCAATTAAATGAATTTAATCAGCTTGGCCATTTATAGCAAAAAAAAAATTAAATTAAACTTTCAGACTTTTTGAGCTAAGTTATAATGATTTAAAATAGAAATTGTTTATATTTTATTATTATATATTCATTTGTGTTAAAAGAAAAAGTTACATAGTGCACCTTTAAGCTTGATGTTGATGGGATGAACATAAGAGGTACGTCTAGAGGTACAGTATTTATTTATATTTTTTTAAAGCAGCTATATTGACAACAGAAAAATAATTAATATAATATATTAAATGTATTTTTGACATAATATTGTAATTGGTGAACATTATCAAGAGAAGTAAAAGTTTCCTTAATTTATTCAAGTTCTAGAGCTGCAGTACTGACTTTTCTCTCCAGATGGCGCTCTATCCTCGTCAAAGCCTCAGTCTCTCCTCCAGGCCACACAGCTGAAGGCAGGCCCTCGGTGTCAAAACCTGAGAAAAAACACAATAATAAGAATTGTACATTTAATTTATATTCCAAATAAAAAGGTTTGTATCAATAAAATCCCAACTTAGATCTCTAAATGTTTTTACAAGCCTTTGTGCATCCATTTTTTTTTTTTAAATACAATAATAATAATATAAGTGTACATAATATGAACATGAATCTGTATGTATTCACCCCTTAAATTAAAAACTGGTATAGGAAGTGTGCTCGATTTTTATTAAGACAATCACTTACTTCTCAAAATGTTTTCTACAAGCCTTTAAATTTAATTACAGTTGTTTTAATTCATATTTAAAACCAAAAAGTATAAAATAACAGTATCTTTTTGAAACTGGCTAGGAACTTATTGCTGTCTACATATATGCCATATTTTGCAACAAGCTGCATCCAGAAAAGCATTTCAAATTACAATATTATGATAATAAAATATGGTTACATCCCAACAGAATGCATTTCACAACTGAACCTGGGCTGCCGTTGTCTAAATCTGTATATATAAGAACAGGCCATATGCTGAGGTCTCATTTCTCTTTCCTTGTTTCCTTATCCTTGATTCCTCTCCTCGATTCTGCAGGAAATGGGTGAGGAAGGAAGTCCCGCCCACAGAGGAGACACAGCGAAGAAAGAGGATATAAACTCCTCACTGATTCTTTTATCTGATGTCTGCTCCTGAAGCCTCCCTCATGTTTACTCTTTCAGTCTGTGGTTTTCTTTGGGACACGACTTAATATGACACATTTGACTCACAGCTGAAAAATGGAGGATCTAGAAGAGGAATCAAGGAGAAGGAAGTGAGGAAAGAGAAATGATATGCAGTTTCAGATAAGGAAGCTCAGAACCTCCAGAATTCACTCACTGAGCTGCAAAGACTGCACTAACACTGATTCATGACTGGATGCAGATGCTTTGGTTTAGGTGGAGACCATTCAGATCAGAAAGAGGCTTTTAGGTTTAAATAACTGGATTTCAACATGAAACTGGCAACACAAATGAGAGACTCATGTAAGACTCATTCTGTGTTCTGACTGGATAACAAAAACATGATGTGTGTAAAATCCCTCAGTTGTCCAGATAGACTCCATGGCAAAGGAAAAATTCAATATGTCAACTGCACAAACGTTTATTTTGGTTGAAAACGTTTCACAGCTCAGTTCAGTTCAGGACTGAAGAAGCAGCTTGGATGATAACCAAAACACCAAATTATAATGTATATAAATCATCATCATATCAAATGTTTTTGTCATTAAGAACAAATCGGCATAGGAATTAGAGATCCACCAATATCGTTTTAGAATCCAGAGCAACCAATGGCCGATAAACTCTGCTGATATTTTGGGTCTATTTTGATTATTTTTTCCAAATTATGTCATTTTCAGCACGAGACAGCACGAGTGAACACTTTGCAGGCTGCACAAAATTTTAATGTACAGTTTTAGCTGCAGGCTGAACAAATCAGACAAGATTTTAAAATGATTTTATTGGTTTATAAAGCTCTTAATGGTCTTAGTCCTATTTATCTATCTGATCTGCTTTTATTATACGGGTTCTCTCGGACTCTCAGGTCCTTAAGTCTCGTCTTTTAACTGTCCCATGAATCCAAACTAAAACTCACAGCGAGGGGTCATTCAGTTTCTACGGCCCCCGTTTGTGGAACAGTCGACCTGAGGATCTGAGGTCCGCTGCGAGTATTCATATTTTTAAAAGTAACTCAAAACATATTTTTTTTATTTAGCTTTTAATTGAAACTTTTACTTGTTTCAACTTAAATGATTATTATTATTGTTATTATATTTGTTTTAAATTAAATTATCATTACTATTTTACTTAGTCTCCATCTGATGTTAGCTCTCCATTTTTATTTTTACTACAACCTTTAGGAGCATTATGTTTATGTTTTTATGTTTCTGTTTAAATTGTTTTATCTATGGATGAAACACTGGGGTCGCTGTTGCTTTTTAATTATTGTCATTTTTCTGTTGCAGGTGAACCACTTTGTGCTACATTTCAAATGTATGAAAAGTGCTATACAAATATAGTTCGATTGATTGATTGACTGATTGAATGAAATAATAATGTCACTCACAAATATAAGATTCAGTGCAAAAAGATACCAGTCCAATATGTGGAGACACTGGTATGATTGTCTTTTAAAAACATACATGATTGTTGTTTTGTAATGTCACTGTCCTTGTCCATTTTAAAGCTGGACCCTGAGTCTGGAATAAATACGATGATGACTCTAATTACTACAAACCCCACCGAGCCTTTTTTTTTAAAACTACAAACCTATAAGAGAGTGGTGTAGTCACGTTTTGTGCAGCTATGTTTTCATGTTCAAGTGTTAATATAAAGCTTTAAGTGTATTTTGTAGGCAGCAGATTCATCAAAACAAAATATCAGCTTGTGCCATACATCGGTCCATCTCTAAGACTACGTTCAGACTGCAGAGCTTAATGCACAATTCGGATGTTTTTTTGTGAAATCCGATGTTTTTGTGAGGTCGTTCACATTTCCAATTAAATGTGACTTGTATGTGATCTCCAGGGTGAACATTAAACGGCCCAAAAGCGTCCCGCATGTGCACTGGAGGACACGACGACGTCAACCGCAGCGAGCGTGCACTGTGTTTACGGAAGTTGTTCAAACATGGACGTGAACATTGAGCACCTGGCGATTTTAAACTTCCTCTCGTACCGGAGCCAGAACATGTACAAGTTATTTGTTTTAAGGAGGAGATTGAGAAGGAGAAGGACGAGGTTTTTGGCCGAGGCGTTTTGTGGGGCAGCCCATTGAAAGGAACGTGTGGATGTGGAGACGGAGCCAAGAGTGGTGGGATAGCGATGTGCTTTGGTTCAGTGACACGGAGTTCATTAACAATTGTCGTATCAGGAGAAGAACGTATGTGTACATTTGTCGCTTGTTGATAACGTGTAGGTCAGATGAATGCGCCTTGGCCGTTCAGATTGAAGTCGCAGGTCAAAAGATCGGATATGTATCGATTTTAGGACCACATATCCAAGTGGTCTGGGTCGCATTTGAAAAAAATCATTCAGTCATTAAAAGATTAAATACAGGTCACATAGGGGCCATAGGGGGATTTGGGTCACTTCAGGCTGCAGTGTGAACGTAGCCTTAGAGGAATTGTAGCTATTTTGATTTGAACATGTTTACTTCGTATGTGCGGGCATAGATAGATCAAGTTTATGAAATTTTAAATCAAAATCTTGCATACAGTTTCTTTAAGCTCTTTCACAATCTCATTTGGTGCTTTTGACTTTCTACTACAGAATGAGGTCTTCTATCTTGGTACCTGAAGCTGCTTAGACACAGTACAGATGTTGGTAGCATATGTCAGTGGCTTTTTAAGAATCATCAAACTTCTGGTGTGAATGAACAGAGACATATGTCCTGGCATGCTTTTCTTTAGTCCGTTTAGGAACATCTGACAGCTTGTGGTACAGTAGTCTGCCTGGGTAAGCTTAAGATATCCCTTGTATGTAAATAGAACAGAACAGAACTGCCCGTGTGCTTTGAGCTTAAATGAATGAGCCACCAAATGTCCATGGAAACTTGCAGCAGGTGAATGGGAGAGTTAATCTAATCCAGTAAGCTAAGAACAGACGCTTTGTCTTAAATAAGGCTGCTAATAGCTTGGAAGTACAATTTAGTGTTGCCACGATGCTGATACTACAAACTTGATTTCGATACTAAGGGATACACTCAATACTCCAAAGAGCATTAAAACACACACTTTTTTTAGGCAATAGAATGTGATTTTCAACATTAAGTCATAGTCATTTATTCTATATTCCAATGTGGCCTTATATCTGTGGTCCAGGTAGGTTCTGTAGTGGTCCAGAGTCCTGCACCGGGTCGGGTACCTGCGGGTATGGGCAAATAGTTGCTGAAACGGGCAGGTTTTAACGTTCTGGGGTAGTAATTACACACGGACGGGTCAGGACTGAATCAGGACTAAACCAGGACTAACCCAGGACTAATCTTGGACTTAAGAGAGAGAGAACCCCGGGCCCACAGACCAGGGTGTCCGATAAACGAGATCGGGGGCGACGGGTGCGATTACCTCTGTGCGCGCCTAACTCTGCGCTCGCGGTCTCTCGACGCACTACACGGGCGCACCTCCGGACCTGTCCTGACAGTGAGTTCTGGGACAGTACTGGTTTAGTCCTGGTTTAGTCCTGTTTTAGTGCTGGAATCAGTCCTGGAGCAGTCCTGGGAGCAGTCTTGATTTAGTCCTGGGTCAGTCCTGGGTTAGTCCTGGGTTAGTCCTGGGTCAGTCCTGGGTTAGTCATGGTTTAGTCCTGAGTTAGTCCTGGTTTAGTCCTGGTTTAGTCCTGGTTCAGTCCTGGTTCAGTCCTGGTTCAGTCCTGGTTTAGTGCTGGGTCAGTCCTAGTTTAGTCCTGGTTTAGTCCTGGTTTAGTGCAGGGTCAGTCCTAGTTTAGTCCTGGTTTAGTGCTGGTTTAGTCCTGGGTTCGTCATGGTTTAGTCCCGGTTTAGTTCTGGGTTAGTCCTGGTGTGCGGCGCAAAAGTCCGGCATTTCGATCAATGTTTCTTCTGCTCAGTAAATAAAGCCTGTGAAGTTGCATTGATTAAAAATTAGCTTTTTACTGCAAGTTTTTTGAAAATCTACCTTGACAAAGCAAATATTCAATTAAGGTTTTAAGGATCTCAGCATGAATAAAGACTGATGGCTCATTCTAACGTGTTAAACATGCACATATTTCAATTACTCACTGTATTGAGCATCAGTCTACGGCCCTCGATCGGCCCTCTGCTTCGTCAGTGTTTAGATATGTGGCCTTTGATGAAAAAAGTTTGGACACCCCTGTACTAGTCTATGTGCTCTTATACTAAAGCTATTCAGGAAATGTGTGTTTTCGATAACTGCTCAAATGAGTATCTAATTCAATACTAGTTTTAGCACAGAAAAACAAAAAGTGGCTGCTTGTTGTTGTGTTCCAATCAGCTAGAGGGCGCTCTTGGAAAAAGCATCAAAACTTTGGACACAACAAAATCCAGGCACTCCAAAAAAGTACAAGTCGCAAGTAAAAAGCCTCAACCTAAACCCTGATGAAGACCAGTCAAACGTGTTGGCTTTGGCCATTTAAATAAAGATATTTCAACTATACTTTTCCTTGTGCGAGTTAGACTTAGACTTTATTGATCTACAAGGGAAATTACTTGGACACAGTAGCTCACACATCACAATATATTACAGTAACACAGAGTAAAAAAATATTTTTAAAATGGTAATAAACTTCTAAATAAGTAGCAATAAAGATAGGTTCTGCATCAAGGGCTTTAACTTTTTTGGTAGCGCCTGGATTCGTTGTGTGCACTAGTTTTAGTATGTTTTAGGCTTTTTACTTTTAATTTGTCCCCAGATATGAAGTAAACGTTCAAATCAAATATAGCTTATAGGGATAACAATTCTAATGTTATTTTATTCTTAATGACAAAAATCTTTCTTTACGTTATAGTTTGGTGTTTTGGTTCTCAAGACAACGATCCAATCAGAAACTAGAACGAGTCTCTCAGCATCAGAAATGTCGTTTAAAAAGGAAATGTTTGATATTTCATGGTAATGTTTGATAATCATTCAGTTATGGGATGTTTCATTGTATTTTAATCCATGTTTGAATCAAATTTATTTAATTTTAAGATGTGTAAATGCAATTTTTAAAAGTAATGCACAGCTATAATGCTCAATTTTAATGTATTCATAAGGCTTTTTTTTTTTTTTTTTTTTGAGGTTTTTTGCCTCTTCCTGCATCTACTTTTTTATCTAGTGTGCCTTTTTTATTTTTATATGGTGTATATGTGCAAAATAAATAAATAAAAATTGGTTTTACTAGTTGACTAATGAAGCTTTATAATAACTGACTAGCTGACTTCAAAAATAATAGTTAGCTGCAACTCTAACTGTTACTCTTATTTTCTTATTCTCTTCTTCTTACATTTACTCCTATAGTTATTAAGACAGTGGCTGTAGCCTCACATGTCCCAGAAGGCGAGGGTTTTGTAATGAACAGCTGCAGCCACATATGGTTCAGGTGATGAGGATTTTAATGAATGAAGGACCAAATGTTCAGGGAAACTTGCAGCAGGTGAAGATGACTTTAATCCAATAGAGAAGCACAGAGACTAAATAAGACACACTATTTAGAGCTTAGGGCAATTAACTGATCCCTGGATTAAAGGTCTGATACTAACTATATTAACTCAACATCAACCTTTGGAGCTTAACAATGTTATAATAGTGCTTTGTTTTTATCCAAAATGCTTTATTTAGTTGTTTTAGAGTCTGTATTGTTCAGAAGATGACCATTTAAAAAGATAATATTTTAATAGTTGACTACTGTATTTTTCGTACTATAAATCGCACTTTTGTTTATGGCTTGAGTGTTTCCTATGACTTATACTCTGGTGACTTATATATTAAAATTTTCAGACTGACAGCCACTGTCCTGCTGCAAATAGTGAAATATGCAGCAGAAAACGAGGAACAGAAAGAAAGTTTGGAGTGAGCGAGAAACTTGTGAGAGACTGGCAGACAGCGGGGATGGAGAACACAGCTTCACCGTGCGCTGTGCAACTTTCCTTTAAGTCATTGGATGACAAAGCGACTCCAGTGACAACCAAAGTTGCACGGAGTTGCTCAGAAGTGACACCAAGGATGAAGAATTCAATAGATTTAGTGATTTGGAGTAAGATCGAGAGTTTGGTAAACTCGTTCTGTTCTGTTGTTTATGCTATAGGTATCTGAAGAAATGTTAAAATGTTACGTTAACATATTAACGCCGATTCAGCCTGTTGTTCTCTGTTCTATTGTTATTATTACTGTAACTTGCCTTTCAAGATGACATGTCGGTTCCTGGTCCCTGATATTATAAAATAAATTTCCCACAAAAAGTGCAACTTATAGTCCGGTGTGACTTAAATATGTTTTTTTCTTCATTATGTGTTTTTGGCTGACTTACACTCCGGATCAACTTATAGTCCAAAAAATACAGTAGTTACAATTATTTCCGTTAATTTCTGCAGCCTTGATTCCTATATATTTTTTATTAGTTTTTTCACATGTTATTTGCCATCGGAGCAAAACCTAAACAGTCTTATTACTGGCTAGTTTGAGAATAACTAGATTCAAATTCAGAAACATCTTAGATCATTTCCACTTATTCACACTATTTTTGACTCTGTTCTGTCCACAATTTGTTTGCGTAGGTGTAGTTTGTTTCCTCACCCAGCTCCTCCAGCGATGGCACCCCGTATTTGTCTCCGTGGTCCTCGGAGATGGGCGTGACGCAGAGCCCCATCTGAGCGTCCGACAGCGCGTCCACGGGCATCTCCGGAGGGTCCATGCGACTGATCAGAGTCTGGAAACGCTTGTACGTCAGAGGAGGCTGCCCACCATTCAGCTCGATGATCCTGCACGACACAATCAGACCAGCTATTTTTAACCTCTAATATTTCAGCCTATTTTTCCTAAAATGTGACTAAAATTACTCTCAAACTGAGTCTGTTTCTGAACCCTTTGGAGCTCAGACAAACAGCTGGGCTCTTTGTGCAGCTGAGGCTCTGCAGTTTTGTCCTCTTTCTCATCTACTCTACATCTAAATTACCACAAGATTGTGCACGCAAGAGAAAAATGATCTTATGAGATTTATTTACATTTAGATTGGTCAAAAAATGGTTACGCCTCGGTGAATTACATCTCTTATCGTTCTAAAAAGCAGAGCTAGAACAGAAACAAAAGTATCAAATGAAATAAATAACAAAATTGTGAAGCATGAAATGTATATATCAGGAATTATGTTAAAATCACGTCTTGTCTCGTTCTCATGGACCCAATCTCACATCTCGACTCATCTTGTGGAAATTTTGTCTCGTCCTTCCCTAATAAATATAAAAACAGGCCTGAGAGTTGAAAAATTTAGCTGCTGTTGGGTCTTGTCAAAGCTGAAGCACATCTCACTAAACATTTAGGGACGAGATTTAGGGATGAGATTTACGGACTTGTAATTAGGCAAAAAAGTCTAGGGGGAATTCATATAAAATTCCTATAAATACATTTTTTTGTGTGAATGTTTTGGTTATTCTTTTTATTTACAATTTTGGAGTACAAACTGATCCAGATTCTTCACAGAATAGTAGATTTAGGTTACAGATTTCCATTATTGTTTTACATTGAGATTGAGAGTTCCCTTTTATTAGAAACTGGACAAACAGAACATCAGGGCCCTTGGAATTTTATTTCTTTAGGAACTGTAAGTAAGCTTTTCATTTTAATCTCAGAAACTTGACCCATCTGTGTCTCCAGATTGACCTGATTTCACCCTGCTCACTGTTGCCTCTACACTCGACTAAAGGGCACTTTCTTTGTGGTAGCACTTCTGATTAAAAGGTCCTACATTAGGCAAAATTGAGCTTTTAGTCAGGTTATAAGCTTGTTCTTTCATCAAAAACATACCTGGGGTTGTGTTTTGTTTCATTCACACATGTTTGAGTGATCCTTTCTAAATCCTGTCTACATCTCCAAAGCTAAAAATGCTCTTTTCCATCTTGTGATGTCATAAAGTGGTAGTTTCAAATTAATAACTACCTTTCACCTTAGATCTGGTTAAATCCTGTTTTAGTTCTGGTTTAGTCCTGCTTTTAGACCTGGTATAGAGCTGCTTTAGACCTAGTTCAGACTTCATTTTAGTCCTGGTTTTAGTTCTGGTTTAGTCCTGTTTTAGACCTGGTAAAGACCTGGTATAGACCTGGTTTAGACTTGGTTTAGACCTGGTTTAGACCTCATTTTAGTCCTGGTTTTATTTCTGTTTTAGACCTGGTATAGACCTAGTTCAGTCCTCATTTTAGTCCTGGTTTTAGTTCTGGTTTAGTCCTGTTCTAGGCCTGGTATAGACCTGGTTTAGACCTAGTTCAGACCTCATTTTAGTCCTGGTTTTAGTTCTGGTTTAGTCCTGTTCTAGGCCTGGTATAGACCTGGTTTAGACCTAGTTCAGACCTCATTTTAGTCCTGGTTTTAGACCTGGTATAGACCTGGTTTAGACCTAGTTCAGAACTCATTTTAGTCCTGGTTTTAGTCCTGGTTTAGTCCTGTTTTAGACCTGGTATAGACCTGGTTTAGACCTAGTTCAGACCTCATTTTAGTCCTGGTTTTAGTTCTGGTTTAGAGGTGCGGAAAACGCGGGAGGAGGCGCAGTCCCCACGGCGTATGGGAAGGAGGTTTGCACTTTAATGCCCCGATACCAAACGTCCCACGGCTCGGCGGCTGGGGACGCCTGACCTAGACCACAAGACTCTAGCAGCACAAATCAGACAGATGTTTATGTAACTTAAAGGTGCACCATGTAACTTTTTCTGTTAGAGGGCTTGCCACCTGCTTGTCTCCAAGGAAATGTCATTGTAATAACTCAAAAACATTCATTCTTACTGTGCCAACTTCTTCACAGATGGGACCTATAACTTCCGTCACCTGCTTGTTTCCATAAAGATAACTTTAATGACATACTGTGGAATATTCCAGTAACCAATAACCAGGCATTATACCCCAAGTGAACTGGGAAAAAAAAAAAAATGTCCAAGAGTCTGAATGTTTGTGTGATGGTTCGTACTTGTCCAGGTCGTAGAGGGTGTGTGAGATCTTGACGATGACTTCCACTCCTGCCTCCATGGCCAGCTTCTTGATGGCTGCATCTCTCTCCTTCCCAAATGGCTCAGAATCATACTCAAAGGTCAGGCGGCTGATTTTCCACTCCTAAAAACACAAATAAACAGGCCAGTCACGATAACAAGTTTTAATTTTTGATATTTAGGCTACGTTTACAAGATGACGGTCTGAACAGAAGACACAAAAGTGGTGTCGCGTCTTCACGTTTTTAAAAGTGTATGGAATTCGATTGGGTGTGCATGCCAGGTTTCTGTGTACTGTATGTATGTGAAGTAAACGTGTAGGCGACGTGAGCAGATCTGACCACAGTTTTGCGTCTTGGGCAGTGTAGACGGAAACACTACGGTGGAGCATATACAACTTTTCCACTCTGGGGGGTGGTTTCAGATTTTTGCGTTTTTAAGCCGCAAAAACGCCGTCACCGTCTAAACCAGGGGTGTCAAACATACGGCCCAGGGGCCAGATCCAGCCCTCCAAGACCTTTAGTCTGGCCCTCAGCTGATTTTCTACTAAAATATTTTAATTATATTTTCTATTAAAATATTGGTAATTTTCTGCGTCGCTGAGCATAGCAGCGTCTACAGCACCTCTGTGCGTGGCCCCTCCCACCAGAGCAGCACAAATGAAGACTTGTCTCTTTCCAAACGCTCTTAAAGGACGATCGTTTTGACTGTTGACCGTGACACCCTCATCAACAAAATGTCCAAAATGAGAAAAGTGAACACCTAGTGCAGGATTTTTCAAGAAAAATGTACTTATTTCTATTTGTTTCTTTTAAGTTCATGTTAAAATATTGTGTTGAAATTGCATTTTTCTTAAAGTTTCAAGTTGTTCATAATATTATCATATTTTCTAAAAGAAAGAGTTCATCAATTAAAAAAGATTTCTGTAATAGATTTGCGTTTCTCTGCACAAATATTTGAAATTAATGCCATTTTTGGGGTATATATGCCATGAGTTTTCTGATCCGGCCCCTTTGGGATCAAAGTAGGTTGGATACGGCCCCCGGACCAAAATGACTTTAACACCCCTGGTCTAAACGAAAGGTACTTCTGATAAAATATTTAGTCGTTTTTACATGCAAGTGTTCTCATTAAACCGGCCCACAGATGGAAGTAAATGTAGACGATAAACGATAATCCTGAAACTAATTTATAACACTGATACAAAGACTCAAGAGCAGATTTAAAGGGGCATTGTGTAACTTTTCTGATGGAGGGCCCGCCACCTGCTGAAGATGTCATTGCTCTGCCTGGAACGTTCCACAGTATAACATTAAACAGATCTACCTTACATTTATCTAATTACAGGTGGTTTTATAGCTCAAAAAATCTAGAAAAACAGGCATTCTGACTGTGAGCGAGGTCGCCTCTCTACAGATCTGACCTGTAACTTGATCTGGTTTGGTCTCCATGAATATGTGAAACATTCCAGACAAAGAAATAACAAGAAAAGTACTTGACGAACCAAAAAACGTTACACAATGCCCCTTTAAACCACAAAACATATTCTAAATTTAAAATATTGTTAAAAATTCTTGAGGGGAAATAAATAAACAGCAGAATGAAACTCTTTAGTAATTAGTTTGCATTTGTTATGACATTTGTTGGCATTTTAAAATTTTGCTGGTATTCTTAATAAAAGGTTTTGCACACCCTAAAATGTGTCAGCTATTTTACACAAGCTTTGAAACTGGCAGTGACCTACCTTTAAGATTAAATCCAGATTGTCAGTGTTTTGATTAGATTAGTGCTAGAGATATTGTATTTCTCTTGTGCGTCAGACCCACACGACCAGTTTAGTCCTTTTTATCTTGACTCATCTAATTGCACCCAATCTAAGGCATACTCAAGGCTTTTACTGACTCAGTTTCTTGCGACAAATGAAATTTATAGCTCTCTCGCATTTTCATTTTGTGAAGGTAGGTCAGTGGAGGAAAAAGGTTGGAGAGCCCTGGTCATATCATAAGAGGTATAATACTCCCTACAGCGGAAGCATAGCCAGACTGGACTGCACTAGACTAGAATGGACAACATTATCACAATGTTTTGAGTGTTTTCAGTGGCCCAGGGTCCTGTTCTGATGGTAAATAAACTTCTTTTTGCTTGTTTGACCATCTCTGTTCTTGTAGTTTCACTTAAATAGAGAGTATTACACTAAATTGACTTCATGGAGCTCTCTACGGTGTTATAACCTCATCAAAAAAAAGCCTGAAATAGTTTTACGTTACATTTTTCATGAGTATACAGAAGCATGACACAAAACAAAACACTATCACTTCACAAACCTGGTGCAATAGTTTCACTGGCAAAATGTTTGATTGTGTATTGATGACACACTGAAAGGGGAGTGACTTAGAGTGGGGAGTGGGGAATACATTGTTGTCAACAAATATAGCATATTAGAAACAATAAAAGGTACCATGGTGATTTAAATATGTTAAGTGTTGTGATGGAAATTTATGTTGTGGAAAGATTTCTCTCAGTCTGTCTTTGTGTAAATGAATGTGATTTCTACCCGAGACCAGACGAGTCATTAACATGTGAAAAGACTCAGCAGATACAACTGTTCTCACCCTCCTGGAACAACAGTGTATTGTCTTGGTTATCCTCTAAAGTATGTTAAGTTGATTAGCATCGGTGTCACTCTGCTTTGATATGTATGTGACTTGTATTTCTGTATAACTACAGAGCGGGTGTTTCAGGTGGGCGAAAAACTGAAACGCCAGTTTTCAGTTTTTTGAGAACGGATTCCAGAGTGGAGAAATCTGAGAACGCCGGTGTTGCGTTGTTGTGTGGACAAGCAAACCACAGCTTTTGGAAAAAAGCATCCTCCGATGCAGTGAAGGCTGCAGCCCTTAAACTAGCCTCCGCTCACCGTAAGAGCGTGGCCGAAATGGGACAGGTGTAGCCTACGGGGTCGCTCTTGTTGCCAGGCAACCGAGACACGCTGTTAACGCTAATGCCAACAACACGCAACACAGATTACACCATGGATTTTCTGTGTGTTTTTGTAGTTTTTACCTTGAAAAGCCTTGGGAACACATTCGCTGGTTGGCCCCTGATCACAAACAGCCTCGAATTCAGCTTCCTCAAATTGGCATCCAGGTCCTCCAGACACTGAAGGAGAAACCTGCAGAGCAACAAAGAACAATAGGAGACTTAACATTTTTACATTTTAAAAAAACAGTAATTTATTTAGGTCACAAGAATAAATTTTGATGCACGATATATTGCTACAATATTACTAAAACTACTTTATGTCACTGAAACAATAAAAAATAAAGCAGAATAATCCCAGTAAGTACCGTATTTCTAAAAAGCCTGAGCAGCAACAGGCCCATAGAATCTCTTTTCAAAAAAGTAATAAAAATCTTGGATAAAAAAAAACACACTCATATCAGCACTCTAATGTTTTGGATGTTTAATTTATTCAGTTTTAATAATTTTGTTCATTTAAATTCAAAGCTTTGCACAGACTTTCTCCTCCTCCACTGAGGGACTTTAAAACACTGAAGACTGTGAGTGGGAAGGCACCGGGCCACAACTTGAGGAGATTGTGGAGGAAGGACACAGACGCACCACTTTTGGACTCTCTGTCAAAGGGACTCATTATTGTCTCCCACTGACAATAACAGAAAGTCCATCTCTAGCTACATTCAAACTGCACTTTAAACTGTGGACGAAGGGAAACCAAGTCTGAACACTTTTAAGTTGGCCTTTTACTGTTCTCTGTTGAACTGTTTTGTATTTTGTATTGTTTTCTGTATTACCTGCCTGGGGAGACAGATGGAAGTGAACTTTTTTGTTATAATCTGTCATATTTACACTATTGTCTCTATCAAATAAATAAAATAAATAGCAGAAAGAACCAATAATTAGTCCTGGAAGTGACTTTTTCATCCCGCTACAACTTAAATCTTACTTCATATTACATAAAACATAGCAGAAACCTCCCCAAGATTGCAACAAAAACACGCGCACATTCAGAATGCCTGTTTTTCTAGGTATTTTTGAGCTGTAAAACCACTTGTAATTCAATAAATGTAAGGTAGAGCTGTTCAGTGTCCTACTGTGGAACTTTCTAGGCAGAGCAATGACATGTCCATAGAAACAAGCAGGTGACATACCCTGCTTACAAGTTACATAGTGCACCTTTAAACTACCTGTGTGAAGTTAATATGAAAGACACACAAATTTTAATAATCAAAACAGAGAATATGTCAAAGGTGTTGAATAAACAAGTTTCTTTTCTCCAAACAGGCAACACAATTGTTAGCCAGACTGGCGACACCTAGTGCCTCCACTCAATTTAATTTCTCTACAGCGACGAGGTCAAGAATCAGAATACACTAGACAGTTTGCAAGAACCCCAATCAGCGAAGAGCTGTGAAGCGATGACTCGGTCCCTTTTGTGGTACAGCGCAACAGTAAACAAAGCGGTCAAGATGGATGTAGACGAAGACATACATTCTGTGTTGGCAACGATTCCCGAGATCGAGGACTTAAAACCGAAACAAGGAGAATGTTTGGTGAATTTTATCAAGGGGAAAGACATTATTGCTCTTCTTCCTACAGGATTTGACGCATTACATATGTCACGACCAAACAGGAGCAATTGGTTAATAAAAAAAGTACATGTCTACTGTCGAGCGAACAAATCCTAATGCTGCGAGGTCAGACAGTTCCCAAGAAGTGAAACCGGCTGATGAATCAGGCTACACAATTGTAGCTCTGTCACAAAATAATTTTTTATAATATACCAAAAAAACTGTATGAATACTTTTGGTGATATATTGATACAAGTGTCCACAATATTGATACTGAATCATCAAATTTAACTATACAAGATATCAAGATTACGATATTTTGACCTCTTGTATGTAAATTTAAAAAAGTTGTTTGTCAATTCTTCATGCAAAACATATGAAGAATCTATATAAATATAGCTAATATTTTATATTTTATTACTTATTTTTCTATTTTATTTTGACTTGTGCATAAACATTTATATAATCATGCCTTATTTGACGCCTGTCTTTTGATATATTTTTTGCTACTTGTTTAGAATTTATTATTACCATTTATGTTTTTTCTCTTTATTATTATTATATTGTGTTGTGTGAGCTACTGTGTCCAAGAAATTTCCCTTGTGGATCAATAAAGTTTGTCTAAGTATAAGTTTTTTACACCTCTGAACATCATTTTCTGTTCCATGGATAATTCTCAGTGTTGACGCATGTACTCACTATGTTGTTTTAAATTAGAGGTAAGAATAGTCCACATCATTTGAACTGGGTGACATTTTCCAATTGGAAAGCCTCCTTTCAATTACTGAGAAAATAGTTTGTTGTGAATTATCTTCCATTATGGCAAATTAAGTAAGAATAAGAAGTGACTAAGCAGATGCATCCACCACTTTTTATGCTAATTGACCAAAACACTACAACAGGGGTGCTCACACTTTTCTGCGTCATAATGATCTACCTAATAGAAAGCCAAGTAAACTGCACTGAAACACTCTGTACCCCTTTTTTGGACCCTCACCCACAGTTTGAGAAGCCTTTCTTTAAGAGAACTTGAAAAGGTGAGGGGCGGCGTGCTGACGTGAGGCAGATGGACAGGTAGGATGTTTAGGAAGTTTAACCTGCCCTGTGATGCACGCTGGTACACGAGGGCACACGCTGTTGCAGACGAGCCGTGCATAGGGAGCGTGTGTGTTTGTGATGTTTCAAATGAGCGCACAGGCTGCACTCAGATGCCCCACACGCTCCTGCACTCCGGTACAAGTTTATTACCAACAGCAGCGGCCGTAATGAAATATGATCGCACTTGTTGAGTGTCAGTCCTTGAGTGAGAGACAAGACCGAGTCCAAACGCGAGTCCGAGACGAGACACGGCGATCTACCCACACGACCTTAGCGATCGACTTGTAGATCGCGATCGACGTATTGAGCACCCCTGCACTACAGAGTCCCTGCTCCCTGTCCAATTCTATCTCGGTGAGGTGTGTGAATGAAAGAAAACACAACACCGGTTATGTTTTAAAAGAGGAAACAGCTTTATAACATAGATCAGAAAACTGTAATATTATCGACCCTTTACAATATTGTCACAAACTGAAAACTAAACAGCTTTTGTATGATTAAAATTAATGAAAAAGTAGTAGCATAGACATATTAAAGACACTAAAAACAATTACACTAATTTGATGCAAGGAGAGTACTGAAATCAAAAGGGGCTGGGTTGACACTACTGTAGCTGAACCAAAACTGTAAACTGTGCTACTTTCCATCGCTGACCCCCAACCTGATATTCTCAGATACGATCGACCGAGGATTGTAAAAAACCACAAACATAAACAAAGGAGAGAAACTAGAGCAGATAACGACTGACCAGCCACAAAAACTGAGAGAAAAAAAAAAAGAAAAAAAACAGCGCATGATGAATCCTCAAAAGAGTTAGTTCAGAAAGAATTTTTATTGGATCTGACCTCGTTTTCACATTTCCGACTAGCAGGGAAGAACAATTTAGAAAAATGCCAGGGTGATTTTTGCGGTGATTATATTCAATCAATGAATCATCAAAATCAAAGTTCCACTCAAAATTTAGAAGGTTACTAAACTACTAAACAAGAATCACATGAATTTCAGATGCTTGTAGAGGTGAAAACTACAGAGGTATTAAATATAAAAATGTAAAATAGGAGCCACAAAATTTGGCAAACTATTCCGACTGAATGTAACCAGCTAATCACAAAATATCTTGTTTTATTATGTTAATTTTGTCATGATTATTTGTGTTTATGATGTGATTTTAATGTATTTCTTATTCTGTAAAGCACTTTGAATTATGAATGGTGCTGAACAAATAGACTTACCTTACCTATTGTGATTTCTACAAACATGATTTGAAATTGATGGGCTTCATTGCATTCTATTTGCTTAAACGTTCATATTTTAGTCTTCTTTCAGATGTTAATGCTAATGGATGAGTTTTATACAAGAATCCTGATTTGAAAACATGAATCGCAAATGTGATCACCATCCTTACAATACATTTTTAATACATTTTAGGATGGAACAAAAAACCTACCCGGAGTTGTGTTTGTTTCATTGACACAAGTTTTACACAGAAGCCAATGTATATATAGGCTGTGTTCTTTTCTCAAACTGAAAACACTCTGTTCCTCCTTGTGACATCATCAAGTGAAAATACAGCAATCTCATCTAAATAAAGCGTAAAAACAAATATATACTAGTATGTATAGTGTTTTAATATATTATTTTTATTCTGGTGTTTTGTAGAGTAAAGCAGTTCAATTTAGCCTACAAAAAACTTAACTCTAAAACTACCACTTGATGACATCACAAAGTGGAACAGAGCAGTTTGAGTTTGGGAGATAGAAAGACTAATAATCCAAACTTGCAAATAAAACAAAACATATCTCCAGGTATGTTTTTGATGAGGATCTTGTCCCCCCCTAAAATGTATTCCACATCCACAGGTAGCTGCCCTCTTTGGGAAAGGTTAGCACCTGACCCTGATCGTTAGCGGGAGTCGGGACAGTGCTGAGTCTGACCCCGTCCAGTCGCGCCGTCTGTAGCTCTAAAGCCCCGGGTGCTCCCAATCCCCCAGCGCTCAGACAGCACCCAAATCGCTCCACTCTGGACACGTGTCACTTGGTCTCCCGCCAGCTAATTGACCTCTGCTGTTACGAGAGGAGGGAGGGGGGAAGGAGGAACGGGGGAGGGAGGGAGATTTTTATTTTCATATACTGTGAATGATGAGTTGATATAGTAATTATAGTGACAGGCCTATGCATTATTCAGGCTACTTAAAGAGGGGGTATTTTGCTAAATTAGCTTTTTGGAGCTTTGTATAACATTGTTCCCTCATCAGAAGCATGACTGAAGTGGATTTATGTCATTCATGCATGTATGTGTAATTTTGAGAGCTCTCCTGGCCATTATTGTATTGTATCACTAAGCATGATACAAAACCATCCACTACAACTTCGCAAACGTGATGCGATGTGCCATAGTTTCATTAGTAAAATGCAGGCCAGTTGTGTTGGGATAGCGCTCTGAAGGGGAAAGGAAAGGTTTATTGTCCCTGTAGGGAAATTTGTCC